ATATTCCATAAATGTATTATTACTATTAAGATATGTAAATATTTCAAAGTATTCAATACTTTAAAGTTTACAAAAAGCAATACCAGAACGCTATACAAAATGCCAAAAGAATTTCATATGATAATTTCATTAATGAATCAAGTAATAAATCCAAGGACGATTAGAAGTTAACTATGAGCGAAATTTAAACAAAAAACTTTCAGCCTCGAACAGCATTTCCACTGATGAATACAACATCTTTTTCACAAATATAGCTGAACAAACTGTAAAATATCTACCCTCCTGTAACATTAATGCTCTAACTTATCTTTTTACACTCCCCAAACCTAGTACTTCTACATTCCTTAGTCCAGTTACTGAGGTTGAAGTTGAACAAGCAATAATTAAATTGAAAAACTCTGCTTGCTTGGACATATACAACTTAAACAGTAGAATGATTAAAGAAACCCTACACCTTGTATCTGGTCCAGTGGCATTTGACAGTGTAAATAATGAGCTCCTACTAGGTAAATTGGAATATTACAGTATACGTGGCACAGCTAATGAAAACCTACTTATGTGGGAGAAAACAAGTTGTTTATACATCTGAAAATTCTACCACATGTAGATCCATTTTGCACGGTGTACCACAAGGGTTCATACTGGGACCAACTCTTTTTTGTGGTATATATTAATGATATTTTTAATTTCTTACTTCCAAGCTTATCTTTTTGCCATGCAGATGATGTATCAACGGTAGAAGCTGACTCAAATGTTCTGTAACAGATAATGACGATGAAAGTTGGTTTACTTCAAATTATCTCAAACTAAACCGGGATAAGTAGGTGCGTAGTTGGCGTAATTTGAACATTTTCCTTGTTTTGAATAAACCTTGTAAGTAGAATTGTTTGGACAATAACAACTGTCTGTTGTATTTATGTTTTATACTGAGACTTTATTATAAGAAAAATGTTTTATATTCAACAATTCATTTACATGCATCAGGACTTACAGAAGATATTCACAATTTGTAGATCTCTAATATTTCATCTACCATCGAGAGAATTTATTCTTGGAAAAAATGTTTGGGCCTTTCTCTCATTTAATTTGTTCATATTCACGAATCATTCTGTATACAATGTGTCAATTATAAAACTTACAATGGGCTATATCTCACGAACGAAAGGTGATATCGAAAAATGCTTGAAGCCGTTTCTAGGATAGTAAGGGGGAACTGAAGTGACACGAAAGAAACCTCACCCCCTAGGCCCCACCCACCAAAACTGAAAGGGTTTAAATTGCAAACGCCTACTTGTGATACATCATTGAAAATACTATAAAAAATGCTATCCAATGGTATAAATAATAATTATACAGGGTGAAGCAATAATTGTGAAATTTTGGCTAAAATGGAATATTTAATGAGGTTTTGTTGAACTACAAATTTATTGAAAATGTCAATTAAGTAAATGTTCAAAGTGGGTTCCGTTTCCGTTGTTTTGTAAACAATAATACAGCCTATTGTCAAAGTCTGCACGAACTTTAATATCAGCCGGCTTACTATGACTTTGTAATGCTACCTCCGGACTATTATTTTAAATGATAAGTGTCCGTCGATACTTTTTTTGTTAAATAAAAACTTCATTTGCCGTTTTTGCAAAACAAGTTGGAAAGATCTATTTTTTTTTAGGTTCTGTCAGAGTCAATAATTTTTGGTCTGTTTTAGACTTTTAAATGTCATTAGTTTTCATCATTTGTACGATCTGTACTGTCATTCAGCTGTAGTTGTCACAATGGTTTACAGCAGGGATGGCTAACTTCTTTTGCCCAAAGGGCCACTTCAATACTTTCACTAAAATCGGGGGCCGCACAAAAAATTTAAGGCAAATTTAGGCTATATAAATATACCTATAAACAAATACTTTGGAACAATTTTTGATATTGCATTTTATTCCTTAT